ACCGTGTCAAATTTGGTTGTATATCTACCGGTAAGCTAAATATAATGTGAAAGGATTGGAAACCCGTAAAAAAGCAAAAAAAACTTAGAAATTTGTGTTTTTACAAATAACAGGAACATGAGAAATAGTGCTGATATGCTAAGTTTTAATGATAGGCGCACTGATTAAATGCTATTTCTGAAATTTCTTGCAGAAATCAGCAAGTGTTGAAGCAATGACATGTCTGACTTGCATGGTCTGAAGGCACCAAGTGGTGTGTCACTCTCTACTGTGTGCATTGAGTTTATTCATAGCTGCATCAGCACATCTTTTCCTACAATTACTTCAGCTTAATACGTCAAGACCACACTGACAGTCAGCCCCAGGCTGTTCACATCAGAAGGCTGTTTCTTCCTCCCTCTCTAACTTTTATGTATAGTTTCCTAAAAAGTATTTCTTTTGAAATGTTTTCTTTGTTGAAGATTTAAAAGAGTCTTTATTCACTTTAGACAATCTCTTGGCATTATGCTTTTGGGCAAATTACAATGGAATGTCAAAGGAAATTGGGGGCCAATAATCTGATGCTCTGTGTTTAAAGGAGATAAATTAGACTAGAGAAAGTGAACTAATAGGAAGCAGGAAGAGCACTGTGTAAGCACGCTTGCTGTTTGCTGGGAATTACCCTCCATTGACAGTGTGACAATGCCACACAGGCAGCAGCAGGGCTGGTAAAAGGATTACACTGGGAGCGTGGAATGGCAGCACTGGGTGGGAGAAAAGGGAATAAGGGCAACAGGGGGTGCATGCATGTCCAAGGAGGCTTCCTCTGAAAGTGTGCATGGTGAGAAAAACATGTAAGTTACAGTTTGGCAGAAGAAATCACGTTACTTTACCTCAGATACAGTCCCTTGCAAAGACATTCATGCAGCTGAAACTTTCCCACGTTTTTCACAACTTGTTTGGACATGTTTTAAATCTGTCAAATTATATAAAACATATAGAGGTTGTACACATATCTCAAGAAACTACAAGATCTTTGCTTTAAAATAAGATACATTGCAAGCATGTGAGAATTATAACATTATTTAACTAACCACTGGCATTTGGGCCTACAATACATTTTTGCACAAGCTATAAAAAAGCGGAATTTAAAAGAGCCTCATGAATAAATAGGATTATGAACACAAAGAAGCACATTGGACAGGTTAGGGAGGAATTTCTGTAGAATTCAAAAGAAAGCATACGGAGATTTTTTTTCTAAGGTCCACATTTGTGTGACCATTTTTTTCTATAATCTTTTTGCTGCTGTAAACACCTGAATTTCACCATTGTGGGACAATAAGGGGATTTTCTAAAAAATTAACTAAAAGAAGGAAAGCAGGTCACAACTGCAGACCAAGTTATGACTAGCTACCTCAACTGGCAGGCTGGACAAGGCGAGAATCAATCAGAAAAGCAGCCCAGAGGCATACAATAACTCTCAAAGAAATGTAAAGATCCACATCTGAGATGGAAGAATGTTACGGCTCATACACGCCACAGCTTTCTGAGGAAACTTATTATTGTTATGATGCCACTTAAGTTACAAGTTGCAGTTTGTCACTGGCTGTTAGTGGACACAACAAACATTGAGGTTTGACTGCATGCAACATACATAGTAGAAAAGGAATTCATTATAGCCTAAACACAGAATTCCCACAGTTAAACATGGCAGTGGCAGTTTCATGATGTGGGAGGCTTTATTCTGCACGTATTTGCAGCTTTCCTCTGGTTCGTTTCAAATAAAAAGTCACCTTACCTTTGACAAAGTAAACAATTATAAACATACTACCGGTATATAGTCAGAGCTGAACTAGACTGATTGCTTTAAAAATCTCCAGATGGTTTGTATGGTCCACTCAAGTGTACATTTAAATCCTATTAAGAATCTTGAAATTAACTTAAATTTGCTGTTTGAAAACAAACAATCCAAACTGCCTGAGCTTGAGCTTTTTGTGCAGATGATTTGGCAACCAAAGGTAGTTCTAAAAACTATAGATTTTTTTTGACTCGACAATACCGATGCATTCTATAATTTCTTAGGTACTAATTTGTAAAAGAAAAAAAAGAAAGTTGGTACAGTAAAGCCTGTATAATTTTCCTTCTACGTTACAATTGTCCTTTGAGCTGGTTTGTCATATACAGTAAAGACCTCGTAAAATGTAAAAAACATGTGTTTGGTTGTACGGTAAATGGGAAGAGGTTCAAAATGACTGTAGGTACCGTTGACAATGTAATAAAATAAACCATTAGATTCAGAGATTACCTGCAAAACAGATTATCGTCTTCATATATTCCTTCCTTTTTTTTAAAGCAATTAGAATCAGATTTTTAGTCAATCAACTCAGAATATCGTGCAGAAAGGATCCATTTTAGATTTAGCCCCTTTTTGTATACAAGCAATGCTGAGACAAAGAGGTTTGCAGCCTGGAGACACTGGTGGCGTGCGCCTTTGAAGTGGCTGATTTTCTGTGATCCTGATGAATCAAGGCTCTGTCTGCCAATGGGGAGCTCAGTCAAATCAGTTTCATGCATGGATTAGACTTACTTTTCTTTTTCCACCATATGAAAGGCTCCATTGCAAACGGGAGGGTAGAAAAGAGATATCTCAAGCTTTTAGCATTCCCGCCTTTGGTATAACAAAACAAAGTCTGTCTCACCTGTTACCCATCTTGGCTTATGGGACAGAATGGTTGGGTCTCTCACCAACGGCACCACCCAACTTACTCCCAGACCTCTATCTGTTTTCTCTGGACACTATAATGCTTGTGTAAACCTCATTAATTCTACTTGAAAAGATTATATACTTAAGCTATGTTGTTTCTCCGACCTTCCATATCCTCCATGTCCCAACATTACTAAAAGATTAATGTGTTGAGATGCCTAAGGCAATGCAGTGACACTGTTACTCTACATCCAGACAATTAATGTCCACTGTCGCTAGATTACAACGCTGGCGTCCCACAGGGAAGCCACAAAGATCCATTGGGTGTACAGGGGAGAGTGGCACAGCAGCGATCGGGTAAAACTACGTGTTGGTTTTGTGTTTTCGGATGAATGGCCAGTAATAACATATTGATTGTTTACATTGCACTAGCAGATGCACACAGCCAAGCTACAACCCCTGTCTTCTTAAGTTTTTGTTTGTCCTTTACGCTTTCCCTCTCTGACAAGCAGCATTTATACATTCTTGTGTTTTTTTTTTTTCCTCAATCAGTCTTTTTTGTTTGTTTGTTTGAAGGGCTGGGTGAATGCCAAGTGGAGTTCTTAATGTATTTCTGCAGCACAGAAGGCACTTTGCCACACTGTGCCAAGGTCATGCTGGGAAGCCATATTGCAGTTTATGAGTTGGTGGTCTGCAGTAGCCATTAATAATGCCCCTTGTTAGATTAGCCATTAATGATAACAGGAGTAGATGCTGATCAAGCATTTATCCAGGGTGCTGTTAATCCCTTTTATTTCTTGTGCATTTCATTTTATTTAATTAGTGTCCATTAAAGGGAATCTTAATAACTGGTTGTTGTTTTAGTGCAGGCTGGAGTGCGATATGAGTGAGGTCAATAACTGGTGAAGTAGCATTGCACTAATCTATCTTTATTTGTAAGAAACAATAAAGAAATTTCTTAGTGGTTTACTTTTAAATGGGAAATACATCATTTATTCACTTTCATGTCAAAAATGAAAAATAAAGTGAGAAAAGAGTGAACATGAGGCACCTGGAAACACTAACCAGAGATAATGATAAAGTTCAACCTTTGGACAGCCAAAACCAGGCATCATTACTCATCGTCTGAGTGAAAAGAAATTAAAGTAAAATTACCATGTTAAGAATGAGTTTACAAAGTGAAGATTTATAGGATGAGCTATCCAAGTTAGACCAGAAGCTTTGAGGTCTAAAAAGTAAACAACCTAAATAGGGATCCAAAGATCTCGGCAAGCCAACTCTGGCTAAAGTGCAGCTTACAACTAAACCTCTTATTCCCAAACCTGGCGTTCAGATCAGCATTGTTAGTCCGATGTGCATGAGCGTCAGTGTGTTGTTTACTTTTACAAGCAGATTATAAATAACTAGAATAACTAGAATCTAGTCGAGGTTACTTAATAGGTCATTCAAATCAAGGGTAAAACCAATTAATGATTATTAGTTAAATTATTATAGCTTAAACCTGCTTACTCACCAGGGTTCTTTAGTCTTCTATCCAAGGTTAGACTTCTGGACTGGCTGTTAAAATCTAGTTTTCTTTCACCCATTTAATAATAAGACTATGTTTATCAGCAGAGTTATTAACGATCACCAAAGAAAAATGTCTGTGTTCTTCAATTGGTAACCAAAAGGGGTGGATCTGGCTCTGAGTGATAGATCATTCACTTTATAAATTATAACAGACTACCACGGGTGTAATAATCCTTATTACTGTATTATTATATCTAATAACTATGCAAACACTACACACTACTGAAACTAAGCACAAGGTAAATGATAGACACATCCCCCATTTTATTAGACTAAGTTTAAAAGGTCTCTAAGGAATGTTCAAAACAGTGGCCAGACCAGTGCGGCACAGTTTCAGTGCCTCACAGCGGCACCTTGGCAAACAGCAGTAGGTTTCAGACTGTTCTGTTGGTGACAAACAAGTTTTGATCAGGTGAAAAACTGGATAGTTTTCCTCATCTTCCTCAGCGGGCATGTTTGCAATGAAAAACACTGCGTTCAGCTTGGTTTGAGCCACAGGAAGACAGTAAAAATCCCCAGTAATTATTAAACTTCTGAGGAGAGGTGGCCACAAAACACTTCTTTAGCTGAAGACCAGCGTTTCATGCCTATCAGACTATACTCTCCTTACTTTAAGAAGTAAGGAGAGTATTGTAATCCATTAACATAAGCAAGGTATTAAGCATTTACAAAAAACATGCATTCTGTATTTTGTGATGATTTAAGCAATGCACACCTCTTTTGACAAATTGCTTTTTGTGTCCTTTAGGTGACTCCAATAGCTGGACCCCCAGAGGGCGGCACTCGGGTGACCATCCATGGTACAAACCTTGGTCTTGCATTCTCAGACATGGTGGACAACGTGGAGGTGGCAGGTGTCAGATGCAGCCCTGTGGAGGAAGGTTACATCATTGCTGAACAGTAAGTCACAAAACAAGGATAATTAGCTAATGGGCTTTTTGCTTTGAGTTTCAGACTCAAGACATTTTACAAGAAAAACAAAACATACAAATTGGTCTCTGTCTGGCTGGCTCCTTACAGCCGATTACATTTGGTGACTTTACAGCAATCCCTTTACTTAACATATTTCAAAATGTTTGCATTTTTGCTCTAACCTCTTTTTCTCAATAAAAATGTATTTTACTATATTGTTAAAAAAATGAATATTCAACAATTATTTAAAATTGCAGATTTGATCATGGTAATATTATAATTATTAGAAATGTTAATTTCACTGCCAGGCTGCTGCTCATTTACTGTTTCAAGACTGTAAAAAAATAAATTTCGTTTCATATGCACTCTGTGTTTACAAAATGACATTAAAGTTGTCTGAGTCTAAGTTTAGGTAGAAATCGGATTATTAAATACGGTGTGAAGTAAAGTGTCAGTATTCGCAGAAATATCTTGTTCCTTCATTCCTGAACTGCCAATTTCTCTTAACCACACTTTGGTTTCTCAGTCTTTCCTTTTTAACTCAGACTGATTTTTGAACTTAATGGTTGTTCTGTAATGTTTGATCTCCTAAGAAATCTTTTTAGCTTTTGAGCTTCAGCTGACAGGGACAACAGAAAAAAATATATATATTTGTGTTTATTTCTTACTGTTTCTTATAACTTCCCATCAAAGTGTGCAACCTCATATTTCTAAGCCTACTGTTTTCACCTAATTTTACAATCATTATTATAACCTTTTAATACCAAGAAAGACATATTTTTTCTGTGGAAATCTTCATTTTCCAGCTAACCATACACAGCACGACTTGTCCGGCAACATATCACATTATCCTCTCCAGTCTAAGTTGAAATACTGGAAGATGATGTCCTATTTTTGAAAATGAGAATATCTATCATAAAATCTAACATCCATCTCTTTGCACTTTTCTACCGGACTGTCTCAACCCATCCGTCTGCAGGGAATTAGATCTAATCTAGCAGAAAATCTCTAGGCTTCAGACTAGGCGGATTTTCAGTGCCTCTCAGCCTTTTTTTTTTTTTATCATAGTTAATTGTTTTTGTCCAGTTTGTTTACCTCATTTCTGAAATCCAATTCCTGTTTTGAGATATATGAATTTATGCATATAATTATGAGATATTGATCTAAATAGACACCTAAACTATGTCCATGACAACTACAAAACAGTATCTGCCTAAGTTGCTTTTATCTTCTGGCTCACATGATGCATAATAAATTAATTAGAATTCAGTCGTGATCTTAATACTCAATTGATCAGATTTTTGTTATTAAAGTTTTCTGTTCAAAACAGCAAATGCTTGCTTGTAGGCTACTACCTGAGGTAATCAGAAAAATAATATTATATTATAGCCTGTTTCCACAGAGAGTTAAGCAAACTCCAACGTTTTCAGGATTTATAACGTCGTCCGTGTTACAGTCATTTTTAAAACCAACCGTTAACGGTCATTTTACACAACATCTAGCTTTCAGTTTTTAGAAACAATTTATAACCTGGAACAGCTAAGAATTCAATCGATATGTGCACAAAGAGACTGCAAGTTGCTTTCCTTTAATGAAGACTGGAACTGTTCCAAGGAGCGTGTTTCGGAGTTTGCAGTTAGACCCCTGCAGGACGGTAACCCATTTCTCTCAATGTTTCTAATTCAGTCAGCAACAATCCCACAACAGCTGTGTGTGTTTACTTGTGTTTACGTCCCTAATTGCCCCATGCTGAGTGTACATCACATTAAATCCTGTCCCACTCACCCTGAACTAATGAAACATGGCCCACAACTCACAACTCACCCATCATCTTGCTCCTGGCTAAACATGCAGTCTTTTGTTGACTCAGAAACCAAATGCCTTTCGGCTATTAAATATCTTTAGGTGTTTCAGGTCTCACACAGGATACATAAGGAAATGCACTGTAGCTTGAATCGAATTTTGAAACGTGCGCTGGTAATTTTCACATTAGAAATAATTAAGTTGCCTCTAGTTTTCGAGTTTTATTACATTTCTTGAAAAGATGCTTTAGAAAAAAAACACACAACTTCAACCCCAGTTTTCAAGCAGTTATAAGGAATACAATCTTAAAAATAGATACTGTTTTAATAGTCTGTGATAATTTATACAGTGAACAATCTATCACTGAGAGCCAGATCCATTTTTTATTTCAAAATCACGGCTTGTGCCCCAATTAAAATACGTAACAGTGACACACTATTATGTTGATGAAATTATCGTTTTATTTTAACTTTATTAAGTAGATCACAGATCCTAAGAACCTTTGATTAGAGGTCAGTGACTTCCTGTCCCCTGTCACAGATATTTATGTCTCTTCAAAATGAAAAATATAAGAACCAGTGCCTTTCAAGTAAGATAGATGTCAACTTATCTTAATAAGTGAGAAAATATCTGAAAGAAATTAACTCAGCAATCTCACACTGAGGATACATGCAGCGACAGTGGGGAGGAAAATTCGGTTTTAACATGAGAAAACTGCCAACCTTACCAGGCTCATTATGAGCAGCCTTCTGTGTGATCCATAAATATATCTTGTGTTAGATGGTATTCACTGTATGGTAGTCATCCACAGCAATCTGTCAAATACAATTCCTTTGTGGTGAACATGCATGGTATCAAGATCTTACTGGAAAAGATTTTACTATTCCTTTTTTTTCTAAAAAAAAATATATATATACAAATAAATTAAAGGTAAATTTTTTTTCAACAATTTACAGAGGGAAAATATTGCTTCACTTAAAATGACTTTCTACATGTTGTAATCTTGGTTACTTTTAAGTTTTAAGAGGACTGTAAACACATTTAGGGAATCAAAAGTGGAGCAAATATTCCCATAGGATTTTTCTGTGTAGTAAAACTGTTTTACTCGCTCACTTCAGTGGATGGTTAAAGTAATTCATAATCATTTATTTGACATAGTGTCATGTCGTACTGTGAGAGTGAGATAACACACACGCAGCTGACTGAATGAACGCACATTCCCATCCACACATACAGACTCTCAGAGGAGACTTTAACCCTAATTCTTCCCTTGGCCTACTTCTGCCCTCAGAATGGGAGCAGCTAACCATTGCTTACTCATACTCCCGCTGATATGCTGTGGTACAGTAGAAAATGACAATTATAAACACAGATCTACACATTTCTATAAGTTTTCGGCCATTTTTTTGTATGTTAACATGAGAATATACAGTATCGGCGGTACATTTTAAATCATATAGAATTATGATGAGCACCATGTCTAAAGCTGTGGACTGGCCAGCTGTGATTAAAATTCACATTGTGCCACTTGGCCTAAGGGGACAATTTGTCAGTAGCATGCTGATCTGACAGCGCTTTAATCTAAATGGGGGCAGGCAAGGAAATTCCTTTGCAATGTGTAGAGTATATATATTTATATATATATATTTTTATAAAACCCTTAAGGTCTTTAGTGGAACTATGAAAGAGTTGGGTTGATGTCTTGATGTGGAGATCATAGCTGCTTATTTATAGTCATCTTCAAATTTAAGGTGTTTCTTTCTATGTTTAATGCAGTCACCAGGCCTTTTATTATAGTCTGGACAAGAAAAGAAAAAAATAACATTCATATTTATATTTTATACTTTCTTTTCACGAATTTGGATTAGTGGGGGAAAGCCACTTTTCCTTTGAAGAAAAATATCGACTGTCTCTTCAGCAGTTGTTTTTTTTTTTTTTGTTCTTTAGAAACTTTCGTCTTCTGCTGCATAGATATAAGACCCCGAATCCTCATTAGGAGGAAATTCTCCTATCAGGATGTATCAGGGACTTAAAAATATTTCAACCAATCTACAGCTTACGAAGTGCCAATAATAAAGCAGCGATTTGCATTAAAGAAGTGAGTGGGTGTTTGAGCCTTTGCGGACCCGTAGGAGGAAAAAAATCATCTCCTTTAGCCACTTTCCGCCACATTCCTGCAGCAACCCCCCAGTCATTTGTTTTAATTCAGGTAATCGGCACTGGAGAAGCAATACATCTGCTGTTTCATCAGCTCCACCCTACCAAGCCCTGCCATCTGCTTCGCCACACACTCTGTCTCCCTTTGCAAACTGTGATTGCTCCTTGTTCTTTATTACTGCCTGGCACCAGCGATCGATAGAAATACTCACTTTATTATGTTATTTGATCTAGTCACCTGCTGCGCTGCTTGTCACCTGATCATACCCTATGATAGAGCGGTATTGATCCTGCTGCATGATTTGCATTAATGTCGCACCACTAGCATTACAGCAGAGCTGCCTGGGGGGGCCGGAACGTTGGTTGGCCAAGGTACCTTAATCTGATTGGAGTTTCGATGTTATAACACAGGAAGAAGATCATCGGGCTCATTATTGTGCAGTCAAGGGGGTCCTGGTCGATACCTGGATGTGTCCCCATAATGAAATACATAAAACAATAGAAGGAGATTGCGATTACTCTAGAAGATTAATCAATATCAAGCAGAGAAGAGCTTTGATTAGTTTCTCAAACTTGTGAAGCAACATGCCAACATGAGTGTGACATTTTAAGTCATGCATGTATGATTTTCACAGTGCTTTGCAAAGTATTTACCTACATCAAGGCATTGCCATATTTTGTTATTTTGGAATCAAAGATTTAGGCACTTAATTGTAAGTGTTATTAAATTTAATTAAATAGAAGGAAAACAGGAATTTCTGACAATTCCTGCAATATATTTCTTGTGTTTATATTAGATTTTGGTAAATATCAAATTTGGAATCTTTTTCCTTTGACCATGACTTAGAGTTCTGGTCCTGTTGGAAGGGGAACGTTTTTGGGCCTGTAACAGAATCCCCAAGCATGAGGCTGCCATTGCCTTATTTTTCTATGGGCATGTTGTGTCATCATGCTGTGCCATGTCCATTTTTTTCTAACAGTGTTTTCCATAGGCCAAATGTTTTGTCTCAATCAAATACAGCAACTTCCTTCCAATCTCCACTATATGATTTATGGCAAACTACATATGAGAAATCATATCATTCTCTTGCAACAATGCATTTCTGCCTGCCTTATGTATTCATGGGACTGAGGGCTGTTGTCGGTGTAGATGGACCTACTTCTTAATAGGATAGAGAAAACAGTGTTGTGTGTCCAAAGCATTGGGCTTTGCTGTGTAACTTAGGGGTATCAGAGTAAATATGGTATCAGAGTAAATAGGACATAAATCAAATTCACTGCAAACTATTTTGACTTCTATTGTTAAGGGAGAGTCAGTGACAAAATGCAAGCTTAAACTCATCCTGGAGGAGTTTCTAAAAGTCAGTGACTCAATGCAGTCAGCTGGTTTTACTTATATAGAAATATTTTTTACCAATCTGACAGTATGATCTGCTTAAATTGTCCTTATAAAGTTCCTTGAGATTACATGTTTTATGATTGGTGCTATATAAATAAACTGAATAGAATTTAATTATTGAAAACTCATTTTTTACCTTCCAAGTCCCTGCCGTGTCCTAATTTGTTTTTGTCTAAGATCATAGAAAAATCGAAAGAATATTGTCATAGTGTAAGCCCTACAAATTGTGGAAAAGCCAAAGGATTTCGAATACCTTTAGAAGGCCCTGCATGCATGGGAGGTTCTCTATTACCAGTCAGTCCCTTTAAAATATGTTTGATCACACGTTTGTCCTAATGTTCATTTTTCTTGTTTTGTTTTTTTTTTCTCTGATAGGATTGTGTGCGAGATGTCTCCCGCTCCGGTGGATAGTCGACCAGGCCCCGTTCAGCTGTGCGTGGGTGAATGCAAACCAGAACTCAAGGCTCGCTCCTCCCAGCTCTACTCCTTTGTGGTATGTCTGCATTAAAACTAAGCAACTTTCCTGTAAGTAAATACTTTATTGTGTTAAACAGTACATAAAAAACACATAAAAGTGCATATAGGCTGCAGTCAGCAAAACTTGAGTAAAGCAGATTTGTATAGAAGTGCTGTAGATATTTAGAAAGCCAAAAAAGGGGACTTCTGCCAAAGGAAATTGCAAATTAGTTGTTTAAAGGCCACTGATGAAGCAGGGTTGTTTTTGTTGTCATGCCAACCACCGGTGTAATTAGGCAGCTGCATGTTTACATATAAGTTAGTTCTGAAATAGCATTCCTTGACTGACAGCAAAAGGTTTTAAAGAGGTCCTTATTAGAATTTTTGATGGTCCATGGTTGGTGATGCTCCTGCTCTTTATTTATTAGCACCCTGTGAGGTTAGTATCACCTCATAAATATTTTCATAAAGACTTTTTTACCCATATTTTTCCAGTGTTGCAAGTCAATTTGCTTTCCACATCCCACCAGCTGAGCTACAGCATTACTCAGTACCTATGAATAAAATATTCTTACATAGAAGTGTGTTTGCATAGAAGGCAGAGTTGTTCAGGGATTACAGGGATCTTTTAAACTGTGCAAGCAATAGATGTTTCAAACTGAGAAAAACAAAAACATTGGTAAGTTCTTAAGCTGTTTGTCTCGCAAACCCTTGTCGGACAGATACCTGCTGATGAAACAATTTAATTAGTTTTCACTGATATACTGATTTATAAATATGTAAAAACAAAAGTCTTGTGTTAAATTATCCTGATAATTACAGTATATAGATGTGGAAATGAACATATATTAGATGCTTAGCAATTTATAGAGAGCTTCGTCATCTTCTGTTGTGCGTATTTCTATACTGTAACAAGGACCACACATGTAAGCACATCACTCTGTCCTCAGAGCCTTTTTTGAGCTAAGAGATATTGCATTATTTTCAGTGCAACACTATTTCTCACGATATGTCATATAATGTGCTTTTGTCCAGAGAACACAAGCACAAGACATTTCTCATTTGATCCACGGCCATTTCATACATAAAACCCTTTTAGGATCCATCTGGAGGGAACATCTGGTTGGATTGTGTGACATGTTTTTTTCCAAGTCAGTCTGGATCAACTATAGCTGTGCTGATGAAAGAGGCAAAACTGTTTCCCATGCAGTGCCCCCCCGAGGACTCTGTGCCTTTGTGAAGTGCTTGCAAAACATTAGAATTTTTCCACATTTTGCCAAATTGCTACCAATAATGTCATGATATGTTATTGAGATTTTATTTAATAGACCTTCATGGTTTAGTGTACGCTCATGTATGAGAAGAAAAACATGCATTTTTTGGGGGGGAAATATAACAAATGTTCAATGCATTAGTATTGCTTCTATAAGCTTTGCATGTCTACAGAGGAATCTATGGACCTCTCTTCTTTGCAAACTACTTTCAATCTGATTTTATAGAGATAGAGAGCATCTCCACAACTGCTTCCATCATTTTTTCGTGCTGTGAAATCGTTTCAGATTGATGTGGAGTATTAGTTCTCCATCTTCTATGGTGGAGAAAAAAGGACTACAATCATGTCTCATCTAAACAGAGTGTCTTTCTAAATCCCTTTTTTTTTTTTTGCTATGTACCCTATATCTTTTCTGACTGACATCAAAGTTCAGATGGCTTCGTTTCAACAATGGCTTTCTCCCTGCCACTCCTCCACAAAGAAGATTTGTAGAGTGAATGGCTAGTAGCTGTCTAGTCAATAGATTCTTCACCCTAAGGGCTATGAATATCTTTTCAAGGCAATGTAAACATTCAAAAACAAACAATGATCCAAGGTTTTTAGGGATGGCCTTTAGGCACTGCAATTTCCACCATCTCTCCAGAATTTGCACTATAGATGTTCTTAGCATACTGAAATGCAAGTGCAGTAGGATTTTGCCTCTTTGCATCTAGATTTTTGTTTTAATTTAGACTCATGAGAAGCAAGCACCCAATCGTAGGTAGCTTAAAAAGTTTTGGATAAACCCAATTTACCACCATTTATAGCTTGACACATATCCCATTCAGATATAATTTTGCTGTATAAGAATCTGCAGTTTTATGTGATCCTAAAGAAAATTGAGGGATTGCAATACTTTACCAATTCATGCATCAAACCACATGTTTCATGAGTCTGTGATGCAATTGGAAATTGGCCAGTATTTGTTGCCACTACTTTTAGGCCTCTCAACTTCTGTACATCTGATTACCACTTGGGCTGGGCCAATAATTGCATTTGCAATACAATTGCAATTTAGGAAAATCCATCCATCCATCCATTTTCTGTCACGCTTATCCCAAGCGGGGTTGCAAGGGGTGCTGGTGCCTATCTCTAGCTGCCTACGGGCGAGAGGCAGGGTATACCCTGGACAGGTCACCAGTCCATCGCAGGGCAACACATTTAGGAAAATGCAATTTTCAAATCGTAGAGGTACTCAATTTTTTGTCACAATACATTTAACACGAGTAAGCCCTTTAGGTGGCAGTAATATGAGTATGTGAGTAAAAGTGAGTATGCAGTCGCATAGAAGGGAACAGATGGTTGCAGCTAGCACCTAAAGTTATGTATTATAGTAAAAGTAGGAAATTTTTCATGCAAATGTTACAGTGAAGTCCTGCACGATTGGGTTCTGGACAAGCAGGCTTTCAGGGTAAGGTAAAGAAAAATTTAAATATATGTTGAAAAAAATTGAAATTTTGATTTTCGGCAAAATTGTGCAGCCCTAATTCTCACAATTTTATGTCAAGTTTGTTAAATAGTGACCATATGAACTGTTTTGGGTGCTAAAACAGGATTTAATTGGTTGGCAAGCATGATAAATAAACAAAGAACTTTGTGGAATTGTAAATTAATTTTTTTTGCCATCTATCCTTTGACTCAGACATTTCCTGCATCTTTTATCTCATTCCCAACCTGCACCAAGCAGAATGTCTCCGATCCCATTTACACTCTATCACACCTCCACAATTAGCTTTCTCGTAACAATTAACAGCTTTTTGTAATTAGCTGCGTTGTTCTAACAGCACCTGGTTTGATTCTTTTTTCGAGCAGTTAGCTGTATCATAGAGGACGTATCAGTTCTTGGCGTATCAGTTGTTGGTTTCACCGTGTGAAACTTTTCAATTCCTCCGGTTCTTTACACAACTGAAAACTCTTACACAACTGAAAGAGGTCACAATTGAGATGGTTTTTGTTTAAGCAGGAATCCTGACACTAAATGGTTATTAACCATAACCATAACTAGTTATGGACACTAAACTGTCCATTAATAGGGTCAAGAATTGAAGTCAGATGTTTGAGAAGGTAGAAATGTGTTCATTTCTCTATGAACACGTGTTCAAGTGTAAGTGTGCACTACTCTCATGTCCCATATGACGAGCTGTCTACGTGGATATTTCTCCATCTGTCTGTATGATGGCAACGTAGCTGCTTGCTGCTGTAAACACTAGTTATTTTCAGAGCATCTTTAAAAAGCTTCACTCAGACACAACTCTACAGAGCTCAACATGCTGTAGTTGGATCTCTCAGGGATTCTAAGAGCTCCTAGTTTTATCCTCTTTCTTTTTTTCCCCCCACTAGCACTGCGCTTGGCTGCCATCAGCCTGGCAACATGAATAACCATAATTTGCTTGGGATCTGTTATAATATATAAAGTTGTCAAGTGTTACCACAGGGATGCCTTTCTGTTGACTCTTGACAGTACCTATCCCTTAATCTGTCGGTTGGTGTCTTACTTCTGTGCTTTTCCGTGGCTTTAAATGGCTCTCAGGCCTGTTTTAACCACTTTCTCTCTTTGCATCTGTCTGTTTTTGTAGACTCCAACCATCACAGGCCTGTCCCCGAGCAGAGGCCCAGAGTCTGGGGGCACCAAAGTCACCATAATGGGAGAAAATCTTGGTGCCGGCAGCAGTGTCAACGTTCAGTTTGGGAACCAGACGTGCGAGTTCTTTGGGTGAGACTTTCCACTAACTTCCAAATCTAACATAGCTTTCCTTTGATGGACATTAAAAGTTTCATTTTCATTTTCCTTTGAAGGATAGTGGGGATAACAGGATTTACTCTGGTCCATATCTTAGCCCTATATAGATATGGACCAGATTGTATGTGAAGAACATCTTCATAGAAATCTTGCATAAAGTCAAAATTTGTGATACAACTGGTGAAGATAGTATTTTATATAAATACCATATTCTCATATTATACATTTCAGAAAAAGACAATACTAATTACGTAATCCATCTATCACTGGGACATGAACATTAAACATGCATATATTTTAGTTACTTGCCTCTCTGCTTAATTGTCATCTATTCCTCCATGCATAGATAAAAAAATAACATAACAAAAGCCTGGATGTAAACCTCCTACCATCAAAAATATAGACATTTGACAAGTTTGTCATTAAACCAAAATAATGTCTAAGAAAGCAGCTCATGTCCTCTGACATGATACAGTAAGTATAGTGGAGGGTGTGTGATGCCATAGATCTTTTTCCTTTTGGTTGAAACCTTGTTATAGTGGACGGCTACACTAACTCGTTTAAAAATCTAAATTTTTCAAATCTAAATATATATAGAAACATGGCCTCTAGATAAAAATGTTTCACCATTAGGAAAGGACCTAAAGAGTGAGTTGAAGAGATTAATATCTTGAAGAGAAGCCAGGACTCTTAATGGTGTAGATTTTGTGCAAAGTGGAATGGTCACAGATTTTTCTCTGTATGTGACAACTTTAATATATGTGAAGACAAGATGCCAATAACTCTTTTTATTTTTAATAACCGCATCAATTCATGGAACTTTGTCACATGTTAATGGCCTGTGAATCAAAAAGGAAGGTTAAAGGTTGTGTTTTTAAGTAAAGTCCTGCTGTGTGAGATCAGGCTGCTGCATTGCACATTAATTTAGTTTCAGACTTTTTAAAGTTCTTTCATCAGGTGTTCCTGGTACTGTGGTCAGAGCTGCACATGGCTTGCTGTGAGCAATTTCAAGTTTTTTTTTTCTTTTAACTATGAATCATTGCCATTATATAAGACACATTAATTCTCATCTCTTCCCCTATTTTCATTTTCTTTTACTGAGAATTCCCTTAAGGAAAGTCTTCCTCCCTTCTGCTGTCAGAAAATACAGCAAATCTTAATCAAACCTTTGAATAATAGCTGCAAGAAAACCCTTTACTCATTTCCATCCACTCCCATTCTTCTCATTATCTTCCCATTGGTCTATTTATGCCCCCCACCCCAACCCAACATCAGTTTTTATTTTCTCCCTCTCATACTTGCCTCTCTCCTTTCCTCACCATCCTTGTTTTCATAACTCAAGATACTCCCACATGCCCTCTTTTTTACATTTCACTCCTGAAGGAGCCTATTTTAAGCCCTGCAACAGTAATGTGACTATGATGTTGTGAGGCTCAGGAGTTAGGGCATTTTTAATGAGATATGGGGTTAATTGGTGGTTTGTGCTACTGCATGGGAGGAAGAGGAGGGTGGGGCAATGTGCAATGTCCCTACTGCTAATGAACTGATACAGATTCAGAGGGTGTGCAGGTAGATAATGGAGTGCTGGGAAAGTATATTGTCAAAAGACATGCAAGTGTTGGAGTTACTAAGTGTGTGCATGGGCTGCAGCTTTGCTCACGCTGTGTTGTTATTCAGGTAATTACAGAACATGGCTGGTGTAACAAATTGCAAGATATACTCAGTTGCTGTTGCCTTTTGCTTATGTAAATTGAATTATGTTGATGGTAATATAGCTTTTTACAGGTTTACCATATTTTTTTTCTAACCCATGCACCGATGTACCATGGCTTGCAGACTTGCACTTCAATGATACCGATCTAAATTTGTTTGTTTGTTCCTTGCTTTTTTTTTAGACGGACCATGAAGGAGATAATCTGTTACTCAGCACCGTCGATGTCGGGGGTCGGCTTGGTTCAGATCAGTGTGAGCGTGGATAATGCGCAAATCAGGGAGAGCCTCACCTTTGAGTACATAGAGGACCCCACTGTCCAGCGAATCGAACCAGACTGGAGCATTGCAAGGTAACCCAAATTACACCTTACATAAATTACCTTAATCCTCACATTCACTAAAAGGGGTTAAAAATTTCACCTTCATCAAGTTCAGTTAAGGTCAGCAGCAGGAAGCAGACAGGAGTCAATACTACACCTCCAGTTTCTGTACAGGTTTTTTTTTTTCCAATTTGTCTGGATCTGATAGAAAAGACCCAACAAACAGATTGAAGAGGCTTGAGGTTAAAGTTTGAGATTCAACCGTGAAATCAATTCATCTGTGGAAATGTTTTCTTTTATGGCTTTAACATTGGAGATAAATAAAGTAAGAAATTAATCCATCTTAGAGTTCAATATAGTATATCTTCTATAGAACATAACCCTTAACCTGAACGCAAAGCATATAAGGTGCTTTAAGTAGGTGTTAAAGTTCATGCGCTTTGAAATTTTCCACATCTTTTCACTCTATATGCAAAGTTAAATGGATGTTACTGAGATTTATGGATATTATTGGGATCAACACCAGATTTTTAATAATCAAAAGGTGAAAAAAATTGTTTTCAACATTATGTGCAAAAGAAATCTGAAAAGAATGCAACACATTTGCATACAGCACCATGAGTCAATCCTCCGCTGTTGCAGTCAAAGGTGCAATTCTTTTGCGGCGTGGGTTAACCATCTTTGAACATATACTGTAGAGACTATACATTTTTCCTGTTCTTTTAACACACCAACATACTTTGATGTTAAAGCGATCTATTGTAGGAGTTTTTGAGTGCTTTTATTAATCCTCCTAGAATAAAAACATCTACCCATCATAGGTTTTTTGCAGCCTGAAACAGGCTTACTTAAAGAGTGGATTAGTATTTTTTTTCCTTTCATCTTCCTATTAGTTTAAAAAACTTCCCTGTACCTAAAAAATTTAAAACAAATAAAGTAAGAAAAAACACCCAGCATGTTACCACCAGCTTGAAGTGTTTATATAGATGGACAGTCTAATTTCCCACAGCTGGTAGGGCCTGATCTTTAAAAGGTTTGCTTGTAAAACATGTGCAAACTTGTTTGCGGGTGAAAAGTGGATCGTGATGCAAGGTGTAAAGAAATTTGTGTGAGCCTCTATGAATATGCAGATCATATTCTAATGAATTCTAATGTTTACAGTATAATTTGCTGTACAGTAAATCTTAGCGAAGATCAGCAAAAAGTCAATGTTTCTAAAAAAAAATTTGACTGGAATATAATCTATATAATTGTTTTGTTTTGTTTTTTTACTTTTGTTTGTAGCACTTATTTAAAATGCACCTTAAATAATTGTCATCATTATTGTCAAATGTGATGACTACTGTGGCTTAGAACATCATCTTTCTTTAATGGCCACTCTCAAACTGCCTGTCACACATTAAATAAACTGATAAGTTTGTTTGGGATGACATTTTAATTTATACTGTTTTCATTTGCCAACAAAATCTTTTTACATCACTTACAATACGCTGTTCTTTTATGACCAGGTACAAAAAGTTTCAATTTATTTACGAGTACCAAATCAACAGAGACTGTATACAAAGGCACAACATACATTTTTTTTATTGTAAAAACAATTAAAAACTATTTATGATTGGTGATATAAAATTATGCTATGTATGTGACACTTGACACTTCACATAAAATTTCTGTGAAATACATTAAAATTGGGGATTACAACATAGCAGAATGTACAAAATGGTGAACAGATGTTTCCAGGTAAAGAGTCCCCGTCTTCTAAATGATTCCCTATTGCCTTTTGGGCCCACGAGTGAAGCACAAGGTGTTCTTTTTTCAGGCTGAACATTTTTAACTCCTCTGTTATAAACCCTGAGCAGCCACTTCTTCTGAATATGCTTGAGCTTTCTTTGTATTTTAAACTCTATTCTGTGCCAGTTGATGGTTACAACTGGAATTTGTTAAAATTCATCCCCAATCATCCTTCACACCAGAGGCCATTACCTCCAAAAAAAAAATTAACAATGGGATTCCTTTTGATACAGTAATTTTCATCTGACTGGGAACATTTTGAAGATGTACATCGAGGTTAGAAAGTTTTTCTAAAAAATGTCTATAAACTATTTAGTTTCCCCTTTTTTTTCCTCAGCCTTTTTTGCCTAAAGAACCCAGTCAAGAAGATTACTAAGAATCAATTTACAAGATGATTTTCTTTTTTACATTTTACAATATAAATAATTTTCTTTCTTTTTTTTCACAGTGGCCACACTCCTCTGACTGTGACAGGAACCAATCTGGATGTTGTTCAGGAGCCCAGAATCAGGGTGAAGTACAGTGGCCGGGAGTCCGTCAACGTAAGATCCATTTAACCAATCTATGGAGGACTCAGTCCTTTACACAGAGTTTGGGGACCTGCATGTCTCTCTACATCCAAATTCCTCTCTATCCACTTCCAAAATAGAATTCACTAGTACTACAAAAAGCATTTCTAAAGATTAGGGGCTTATTCATATTAAAACATCAAATTTACTGCCTTGGGTCTTTAAGGAAACTGTTGCTTTTATAGGACATTAACAAATATTGCAAGGTTAATTTTACTTATTTGCTCCTATTAGATTAGTAAAAGACCCTAGATATAAAGCAAAAATAAGATGTCAGCCTACTACTAAATTTAACATCCAATTGTGCCAGTTTGACCCCAAAGGTGATGGGAGGGTTAACCATGAACCTGTGTATTTAACAGCAAATGTCTACAGTATCTACTAATATGCAAACTGTATTAATGTGGAACAGTTCAGTCAAACAAGGTCCAAGTGGATGCTGGCAGAAAAAGCAAAGCGATGCTTAGCTTTGGAAAAGTGTGCCAGCTCTCAGTGGCCCCTCTAGCTCTCTTTTGCGTGTTTGACTTCTGTTTCAACCGTGTCTTCTTAAGCAATGAGCATGTGACTGATACAGCTGGTAGTAAGAGTGATCTGCATGCAGTATTCATTCAACACTTTTAATCCGTCCATCCATTTTCTACCACTTATCTGGGTCAGGGTCGTTGAGGCAGCAGCATAATCATAGCTTTTCAAACCTTCTCCTTCTTTTATTCCTCTGGGGGTTCTTGGCTTTCCAAAGTCAGTCAAGTGACATAATCTCTCCAGCATGTCCTCAGTGTGTCTCCTTGTTGCCTGTGGCTTTAACATAATACCTGGAAGGTGTCCAGGAGGCTTCATAGCCAGATATGCAAACCAACTTATCTTCTTTTTTCTTTTTTTCTACTGCGGTGGCACTATTTTGGGAGCTCTGATGATAACCTTCAGTAAAGATTTATGCAACAGGATCCAAAACAGATTAATAAAACATGAAAATTTATACAGACAGGTATAAATAGTAAAACATATTGATTGTTACTATAATAATGTTATTTACAGCATTTATTTACTGTCCTATTTTTTAACATAGACTTCTGGCAAAAATGGTAGATTAATTAACACCTGCTGAATTTAGCTGTGGTTTCCCAGCTGCACAGAAAATTATCTGTAAGAAATATCAGTTTCTTACATCTGTAAGAACTATGAACTATGATTCTTAACCATAGTTTCCAGTCGGTTTCTTTTTCTCAGCTGGAAGAAGCTGAGGTTTTGTTACTTGTAAGCATGTAAAGCGTATAGAAGCCCATGTTCAGCCAGCTGACCAGCAGTTGGTGAGGATGAGGCAGTGTCATATTACTGTACATACTCCACATATTTCTCAATTCAAAAATTTTGAATGGAGAAAGCTTCCTGGAGGGGAAGCGAAACATCTTCAAATCTTGGAAACCAAGTCCAGTGGATTGTTTTTTACTTTTACGGAATGACTATGACCTGGATGACTGAGAATCTTCATCAGCAAGAAGCTGTTCAGTTTAACTGCTTTAGTCTGATAAAATGTAGACCAAGCTGCATATGAACACTGACACTGTAACACAATAGAAAGGGATTTTAAGACATTTAAGACAGTATAGTAGAACTTTTTCAGTGAAGGAGCTGGCTGACAGCAGAGAGTAGGTGTGAGGTCGGTTTGTGGGAAAATGTTGGAGGTGTCCATGATCGGGGGCAAGGAGACTCTTAATAGCATTCAACGGAAGATTAACTGCAATCAGAAGCCTTTGGTCAGCATATAGAGCGCTTGTATAATCAAAGTCTTAGCTGCAGGAAATCGTTACAAATTACATTTGATCCCTAGTCCTAGGGGCCCTTGTTTAATTAAGAGGATGGGATCTCCTTGCTGTAATTTGAGGCAAGGTGGGCAGAACAAGAGTGAGGAGAGTCAAACATTAAATTGGATACAAATAATGCTGTTGGCTTCTTAGGTCGGTTGAAATGTACGGCGTATGGCTTACTGAGACTCCAAAGCAACAGACCTGGTGTGAACATGGTTCCAGGTATGCACCCAGCCAGCTCTATATATTCCATTATTACCACAAACACAATCTGTATTGACCTGTTTGTAGCTGCATACCAACATGCAGGTACTGAAAGCGTTCTGTCTCATTAACCTCTTTCATGAAGCAATCTGAATCTCATGCTTCATTTATAGAATAGCTTAGTACACATTTATGCCCATGTGCACACATAAATCGGTTGAGTACACATTTTGTCCCGTTTGCCTTTCTATTTTCTACATTTTCAGCATCCTAACTTCAGGTTTATACATTCTAAAACCAGTCAAAGATATATTTTATTTTAACAAAATAGTCCGGTTGTTTTCTTTTAAAGGATAATGTTGGTTTCTGAGACCTAAATAGTATTAAAGTTACAAAAAGAGGTATTTTTTGTTATATTTTTTAAGGAGAAGAAGCAACACTTGATAAGTAAGTGTGAAGGCCTGTTGAAGTCGGATTCGATTGGTGTGGGTGATGGGCTGTGGGCTGCATCAGCAACTAAAGCTTTGAAAGGAAGGGCTTGCTTTCTGCTTCGCCATGTCTCATCGAAATAAGTATCTTTCTAGAAGAGGCTTTTGTTATCCTAACGTTGTGATTGTCTTCAGAGAATATATTAATTTTAATTATGAATGGCAGTGTTAACTAATCCTTCATTGTATCGACCTACCTTGTCTCCAATTTCTTTTTTGTTGCAGCTGGAAGACAAAAAAAAACAAAAAAACATTCCTTTGCAGTGAGAGCTGCACCCTGTCAGCTATATTCTTCAAATGATCATCTGTCTGCCAACCAATTTCTTCTCTACAATCTCATTCTTTTCACCTAAACAAACTCAGTAAGAAACCATCAAAGGGGGGAAAGTGCCAATTTTCTGGGTAAAATGTGCCATATCTGTCAGAAGATCCACAAAAGCAACATCTATCATGATCTTAATTAAAGCCTAAAGGTTTTGTTTTTTTCTGTTATAATACAGTTGTTTCTTCCAGAAGGATCTCATTGACGTAATTTGCTGTATATAAGATGTCTAGGCTTAGCTAGTGATCGGCCTGTCTGGTACATTTACAATCTTTGCTGATTATAGAAATATCACAGGGTAGATGCGCTTAGACAAAGAGCATACAGGTAACAAGCTTTTTATTTTTTTATTTAATTTTATAATTTTTTAGTGTCCTGTCTGGCAATGTGGCAATAAGAATAATTGTCTTGATTCCAAAAAGAGCCCAACAGATTTTACTTTCCCAAGTGGAGCAGTAGGGCTATCGCCATAGTCAACTGCTTGATTTATGCATATAAATAGCTTTTCTATAATTATGCAGGGATTTTTACAGATTATATGGAGACTGCAATGTTAGTAGAACAGGAAAGGAAAAACGAAAAGAGGGGAAAAAAAGGAGAAAAGGTGAAAGAAAGAGGAGGTAAAAGGGAGATAACGATGAAACATCTTCAGTCTGCTTCATCACCTGCAGAGAGATGTAAAAAGAACAGCACAACCAATGGACATGGTAAAAGACATACAATAAAAAAGTGGTATTACTTTCTAGTATTTTTTAGTATTTAAGGAGTTTTTGGTTAGAAGGATCTTAATGTCATCTCTGCTTTGCTTATCATTAAACAGAGATAAACCAGTGTCCAAACCACTGGAATATTGCTCAAACCACCGTAGGTCTTTTCTGTTTTTTTTACCTTTTTTCTATTTTTTGTTCAAGCAGTAAAACACAAGTAGAGGGTCCAGAATGTTATAGTATATCTATCTAGTATTGATTTGCCAACCAAACATTTTATTTCAATTCTTACTGAGTTCCCAGAATGTAAATCTAGTCACCTTAACTTTCTCTATAAGGACCACAGCTTCTGGACCATGAAAACAGTAAACCCATTTGAAGGTTCACTAAGTGCTGGGATCTTCTTAAATTTTCAAACATTTCTCATGTCCTATCTTCTCCAGATTGCAAAAAAAAGTGAATTCATGCCTGTCAAAACCAGATGACAGTGATTTGCATCTCTTTTATGTCAGGCTTTTCTCTCTGCAGCCACACACATATCGGTTTTCTTTTAGAATGTAAAGTTAATTACTCTGGCTGTAGTTACAAAGAGTGGCTTACAAAAGTTAATTTGTAGTTAATAAATTGTGCAAATGCATTGAAAGGTGGTGGCAGGATCATATCTAGGGATACTTTTTTTGGGAATAAGTCAAAGTTTTGTTGTATTTACAGCCGTTTTTTTTTTTTTTATATATTTGATTATAAGAAATCTGCATATTTATTGAACTACTCCCCAACCAAAGTGAAAGGAAGCAGGAGTATATTTTGATCTAAAGCATTACAGTGTAGCTGTCAAAATGTTTAAAGTCAGTGCCTGCAGGAGGCTGAACCTCCACATAATTCTCTAGTTTTCCTGCCACTAACAGTTTCTTTCCTATATATATATATATATATATATATATATATATATATATATATATATATATATATATATATATGTATATATATGCGTGCAATAATTAGTTCAACAACTTTCATTATTGCTCTATTTGTTTTGGATCTTTTTAATGAAATTGTAGGAAAATATGTTGTATTTAGAGATTGTAAATGTAACTAATCAGTAAAATGTTGATGAATCCTTTCACAGGGAAGTGTAGATATGCTATATGCTATGCATTGGCTCAGAGATCCTAAGATGTGTTCATAACTGTTGACCCAACTGTTTTTCTGTCAAACTTTCTAGGCTACCAAATAGCTTGCAAATGGTACTCACCCTTCGTATTCTCCTAAATATTCAGCCCCACAAAGTAATCTGCCTTCTCTTAACACATCCTTCACTCTAAGTGGACTAACTTCCAGCTACTTTGTGCTTCTTCTGTTCTTCTCTCAGAAAAGCAAATTAAAACAGATAGCTATTAATGTGTTTGAAATGGGGTTTAGTCAATCTTCCCGGCATTACTGGATAAAA